ACACACACACACACACAGACACATGAGAAATAAAAAGGAAAAAAAAAAAAAGCATAAAAAATACAAAATCAATCAATCAATCAATCAATCAAGATCTTGATTGATTGATTGATTGATTGATCTATTGATTGATTGATTGATTGATTGATTGATTGATTGATCTAATGATTGATTGATTGATTGATTGATTGATTGATTGATTGATTGATTGATTGATTGATTGATCTAATGATTGATTGATTGACCTATTGATTGATTGATTGATCTATTGATTGATTGATTGATGAAAACGGTGAATCAATCAATCAATCAATTGATTGATGGATTGATTGTTGGTTTGATCAACTTTGATGGTTTGGCCCATTTGCTTGATTGCTTGATTGATTGTTTGATTGATTGATTGTTTTATTTTGTGTCGGTGCAGGCGACATCCCCTACCGATCAGTGGCGCCGGCTGTCCCCCACCGAACCAGCAGGACGAGGGTTCAACGGGGTATCGACGGGGTGTCGACGGGGTTTCAACGGGGTTTCAACTGGTTTCAACGGGGTTTCAACGGGGTTTCAACTGGTTTCAACGGGGTTTCAACGGGGTTTCAACGACGTTTCAACGGGGTTTCAACGACGTTTCAACGGGGTTTCAACGGGAGCACGGTTCAACGGGGTTTCAACGGGAGTTCAAAGGACGCCGCTTTAAGGGGGGTTCACAATGCCGCGAAAACAGACGCTCGAACATGAGCCTGCGCCCGAACATGTGCAGCAGGATTATAGGCACAAATCTGTTGTGTACCGTTACATTGTTGTCGGCCAGAAGGTCGACAACAGGGGGGTCAATATGCTACGGTGCACCTTCTGCAATAAGGTGTTTCAGGGAACCCAATTCTATGCAACGAAACACTTCACCCAGCAGAATTATTGCAAGAAGGTGTCCGATGATGCATTGTACCAGATTGCGCAGAAATGCACACACCGCTTCGAGGCCGATCAGGTAGAGAGGGTGCGGCGGTTCGCACACGAGCGTGGTTTCGATGTCCCGCGGTCGGGTGCGATGGGTGGCGAGGCGGAGCGTCCTGCACAGGGGGTGGGCGAGGGAGAGGATACCGAGCGTTATGCAGAGGGAGGTATTGCGAGATATGGGGAGGGTGCGGGTGCCGCGGAGGAGGACGAGGCAGACGTTGACCTAGAGGTTGGCGTGGTTGAGGGGGAGCGGACCCCGAGGGGAGAGGGGGGCGTGCCGAAGTCCGATCCGATGGCTCATCAGAGGGCGGTGGACTGGGAGCGGAAGTGCGGGAAGAAGGTCGTCCCACCTGAGACGACATGCACGCCGATTTCTTCGAAGAGTGCTGTTCCTGATAGAGCAAGCACGCCGGCTTCTTCGAAGAGGAAGGAGGGGGGTGCACAGCTTTCTGGCACCAGTGTAGGGAAGAGGCTGCGGCAACAAAAAATGACGGACACGTATAGTGGCGAGTGGATTGGTGAGTGGAGGAAGGCATTCTTTCGCTGGGTGTATTCCAGCAAGATTGCCTTCAATGCCTTCTGCAACACGTCGTACGGAGACCTCCAGCAGGTTGCTCTTCGGCAACCTGGTGGAGCACCTCCTCCCGTGCTTCCATCCTACAGCGAGATTGCAGACATGCGAACTGTGGAGATCTACCGCGAGCAGTTGGCGGAGGAGTTGGAGGATGTTACGCAGCCATTATGGGTGAGTTGCGCCACCCTCCTCTCTGACGGGAGGAAGTTGCGAGATGGGCGACCGATCGTGAACTTCCTCGCAGCTGGGTCTCGGGGGGTCGTCATGTACACGACGATCAACCGAGAGGGGGAGCCGGACGATGCAGTGCACGTCCTGCAGAGATGGGTCGCCATCTTTCATGATTTCAGATTCGGTGGCCCACAAAGCCCTCGCCATCTATGCCCCCTGATCTGAGGAGGATCACTTGGCTCCCGTGTTGCGTCCATGTCTGCAACAAGTTATTGTCAGACATTGGCACGATGCACCTCTTTCGTGGACACGATCACGCGTGACCGAGTTCTGGTGGTGTTTTTCAAAACCCACCAGGCCGCTCTCAGCTTCTTTCGGAAGCGGAGCGCAGCGTTGGGCCTCGTGCTTTCATGCGAGACGCGCTTTGCGTCCGTGTACTCCATGTTGGAGAGACTGCTCGCTCTGCAGGATCGTTTGCAGGGCATGATGACAGCGGAGGACGGTCGGGCTTGGGCTAGGATCCCGTGGTCCCCCAACGTTCGCGACATGGCGCGTTGGGTGCGCCGACAGATCAGGTGGTCCCCTTGGTGGGAGAGGATGCGTGCCATCAAGCACGTCATGGATCCTGTCATGGACTTGCTGAGGCGGATGGACCGTGGCGGGCAGTTCATGTCCCTCGTTGTAGAGTGGACCCGGGATCTTGCACGCCTTGTGCGGGATGCTTGCATTCCTCTTGGCCAGTCCTTTTCGGACCGTATCATAAGGCGTGTGCAGGCCCGTATACAGCACATGATGGAGCCCGCACACTGCGCCGCGTTCTTACTAAACCCCCATCGCCGGAATGTTCAGTACTTCTCCGCGCAACTCGACCGGTACCACACTTGGCTTGTTCGACAAGCCAAGAGGTATCTGTTGTCGCAGACGGGCCACGGCGAGTCGGGTGGTCGTTACCTTGAGGTATGTCGGCAGTTCGAGGACTTTCACATGCAGCAGTGTAGGTATGGGTCTTGGGGCGGGGCAGAGGGGCGCGCTCGAGCGCGTAGTTGCATCGGAGACTGCGAGACATTGGAGTGTGCATCGTGGTGGTTTCAGTACGGGGGAGATGCGCCCGATTTACAGCATTGCGCTCTTCGTTTGATGCACATGTGGTCCTGCACCTTTCCAGCGGAGAGGAACCGGGCGGTCCACGAGGGCATCCATACGAAGAAGCGTAATCAGTTGGCCTTCGAGAAGGTCGTTCATCTTGTTGAGATCATCGCAAATGTGTGGTTGATGGAGTATAAACGTGCAGGTTGTGGATACGTCCTCCCTTGGCAGCGAGACGAGGGCATGCTTGATGCTCAGGCGGGATTGGACGTGGAGCCTGTGCGCTCGGGGACGAGGAGTGGAATGATGGAGGAGGAGATCGAGGAGCAGGCTGCCCTTATTGCGCGCGATCCCATTGGGTCTTCTGCGCCGCCCCCTGTTGAGTCTGTTTTCGGTGCTCGTGCGACTATCTTCCGCCCATACTCCAGGGACGATGACTCTGCGGACGAGAGGGAGTCGGAAGTAGCGGACGACCCGATGCTTCCCATCCCGCGTGAGATTGATGAGTTGCACGAGGGGGGCGACGTGCGTGACGGGAGGACGCACACCGCGTGGAGGGTGGCAGACCAGCGAGACATGGATATGATGGGGGGCGAGGAGTTTTGGGGATCTTTCGGGGGCACGGAGGAGAGATCACCCACTGCCGCGCGGGAGGATACGCGTCCTCGCACGACCTTGTGGGAGGAGACGCCTGCTCCCATGACTGCGAGTGAGGAGCCGGGTCCTGCCACAACAGCGCGGGAGCGGATGACTGTTTCGTCGACCACGGAGGAGCAGACGCCTGCTCCCATGACCACGCCAGAGCAGACGAGTATTCCCGCTACGCAGTCCGGACCCTCGTCCCCGTCGCCTCTTTCGCTTCACTCTATCCCAGGATTTCCAGCATCCGCTCCGCCCGCTCCCAATTGGCGTGACGAGCGCTCACCTGCACCGGTTGGGAGGGAGGACTTGGGATCCTCGTTGCGCATCCGCGGGCATGGATCATTGTTTAGCGTAGCCCGTCAGCTCCTTTTGGACCCGCGTGCATCGAGCGACTTGGGGGAGATGGGTGTTCATAGCGGGGCACCACCGGTGGAGGAGAGGGAGAGACGAGCGGAGAAGCACGGAGCCGCCGGAGCTGGCGGAGTTGAGGGTATTCGGGGTATGGAGGAGGAGGTAGCTGGAGTAGTGGGGGGATTGGTGGAGGTAGATGATGGTGCGCACGTCGAGAGAGAGGAGGCTATGGCGAGGGTTGATGATGGTGACGATGAGGGAGAGGAGGCCATGGCGAGGGACGATGAGGGAGAGGAGGCTGTGGCAGGGGTAGAGGAGAGCGTGGCAGGGATAGATGATGGTGATGCCCAGGTTGAGATGGAGGAGGATGTGGTGAGGGCAGATGCTGCTGCGTTGGTTGGGGGGGAGGAGGGTGTGGTAGGGGGGGACATCGCCCATGGTAGAGGAGAGGGAGGCGGTGACCATGACCCGATCATCCAGCGTTTCGTCGATGACGAGATGGGTCCCGCACTAGCGGGTTTGACCTCGGGCACGAGGAGGGCACTGGGGGCGTCGCCATCAGGACAGAAGGGGGCGTCAGGGCTAGGGATGGGGGATTTCATGGACATGTCTTTGGGGGATCCGCCCACCCCTAGTCACGCAGAGAGAGAGGATGTGGCGCGTGCCCTAGCGGCCGCTGGGTACACCACAGAGGAGATCGAGCAGGCATTTGCAGGACGCTCCGAGAGAGAGACAGACACGCCTAGCAGGGGTGCGAGGAGGTAGTAGAGCAGCCACAGGAGGAGCGTGAGGATGCACCCCCTGCGGATATCCCCGGAGGTAGCAGTTCGTTGGTACCGTTCACGGGCTTGCAAATGACGACGACGATGCGGCCAGTTCGACCGTGTGTGCAGGGGTCAGGTCCTGGGGAAGAGGCATTTGTTCAGGTACCACCGGTCATAGTTGTGGATTTAGGATCCGAGGCAGTTCTTCATACACCGGTTACTGGGCGGCGAGCTCCTCAGGATACAGCTCGCCCATTGGATTTCAAGGAGCTCGCACGGGCTGCTGTGCGTAACGTGACGCGGCGGGAGGACACCGACCCTAGCAGACCACTTATGCCGCCTCCTCCTCCGAGATCACGTCACAGCGATTCCCCCTCGACACCATTCGGTCGGCCCCCCCGTTCACCATCCACGCCCACCAGACTCAGGGTTCGTGACACGACGGTCGTAGGGAGCCTCCCTCTTGACACGTCACTATTCGGGAGGACAGATATTGACCTGGACTCCATACGTCGGGTCACAATGCATACTGCACGACAACAGCTAGGTTTGGGTGGGGCTGACACCGGGAGGGGTGCGCCAAGGGAGGTCATGGCGGCAGTATCTCAGCCGCGAGATGTTCGCGAGGTTGGACAGGCCGGGTGTACCTTGCAGGCTGCTTTGGCAGCCGCAACACGTGCTGTGCGTGAGCAGACTTCGCGCAGGAGCGGAGTCGCTCGTACGAGTTCCATGCCTCAGATGATGCCTACCACGGGGGATGCCGCGTTGGAGGAGTCTTCTGGAGCCGAGGGGTTGGAGATGTCGCGCGGTTCTCGTCGTGAGAAGACAGTCGCAGAGGTGACTCAGGTGAGTGCTAGGCTTGTTCGAGTGAGGACAGGGGCTGCCCATGTGACCGTGGTGGAGGACGATCCCGAGACGGAGCCTGCACGTGAGGAGGCCCCACAGGAGGGTGACGAGTACAGGGACGACGAGGAGCGTGAGGAGGATGAAAGCGACAACGGGGATGATGACAGCTACCACGACGACGACAACGAACCCTCCCCTCCACCGCGGCATGGTTCTCGTAGACGACGTGGCTCTCGTAGAGGACATGATGACGTAGACGACCCGTTCCCTCCAGGGCGGTGGGAGACGAGGAGTCGGAGGAGGCGAGGGTCATCCATTGCGACAGCGCCGGGGCGAGGGAGTGTTTCGTCGACACGCAGCAAGAGTGGGGCGAGGCAGAGAGGGAGTGGTAAGGGGAAGGGAAGTCGACGGTATTGACAGCTTTATTCCCCTTCCAGTGCTTCCACGACGCCTTTATGTTATTTGTGCTTAGTGTTCTGACGTTGTTGTATATTGTTTAGGATGATGTACATATAGTTAGGTTTTAGGGACTTCGGACCAGCTCATGGACTTCAGCATGCAGGTAGACTGGGTAGTGTCGTCGACAGTGTTTGTTTGTTTCGTTTTTCGGTTTATGTACGTCGTTTTCATATTGTTTTTTAGTTATTGGGTTTTTGTTAGAGGTGGGACTTCATTCTGACTTGTCGTTTTACGTAGATGTTTGTTAGGGTTTTATTTTCAGCTTTGTTAGTTAGCGGTGTAGGCTGCATACCATCAGTGTACGGCCCTGTGCGACTCGGCACGAGTGTCGCCGACACATTGTACCATGTGAGATGTATTTCATATTGGACTCCTATATGTGACTTCGCCGGCACTTCGACATGACTTTTGTATGACATTTCATGACTACTTTGTTTTATTGTAGTTTCATGTTCTTTTATGCGGTTATTTTTGTGTGTTTATGTGTGTGTGTGTGTGTGTGTGTGTGTGCGTGCGTGCGTGTGTGTGTGTGTGGGTGTGTGTGTGTGGGTGTGGGAGTTTGTGTTTGTGTGTCTGGGCAGCCCTCCCTCAACAATCATTCAATTGTTACGATCCTGGTCGTTTCCCAAGTGCAATTCACAATGAAAGACAACGCCACCCAATTGCGAAAGAAATGAAAGCACTTGCAAAAAGATAAAGACCAGAGAAGAGAGGGGAAGAAGAAGAAGAAGAAGAAGAAGAAGAAGAAGAAGAAGCACACCAGCAAGACCAATGACAATTCCCCCCTTCTCTTTCTAATCTCCTCCTCTTCACCAATCTTATTCTTCTCTCAATAATAATAATAACAATGAATGGATGAACCAGAATCAATATCCGAAGTTCCCTCTTACTGCTGACTCAACTCCACAACAACAACAACAACAACAACAACAAGCCCACCATAGCTTTGGCTTCCCTCTTTCAGCCTTCCCTCTCATGCACAGGCTATGGTGGACTGATGAGGGCCCTGCCCTCCTGTACAAAACACAACCCAAAGCAGTTATGGTGCTGCCGATGTCCAAATGAGTTGAAAGGACAACCCAAGAGCAGCTATGCCGCTGCTGACTGGTCCGCCATGCCTGACTCTGCCTTGAGCTTCCTTGCTGCAGCGCTACCCCAACTGGGGCCTTCCGGATGCAGCGCCCAATAAGGTGATGAAGACGGTGTCCACCATAGCCAGGTAAGTGCCTCAACACTCTCCTACCATGCCCCTTCTTCCTCCTCCTCAAGCTGGACTGCTCGCCATAGCCAGGCTGAGCTCTAGCGGTCCCTTCTCCCTCCAAGCAGCGCTGTACCTCCAGCGCTGTGCTCCAACAGCATGTCGCCAATCCTTGCACACCGCAAATGAGGAAGAGCTCTTTTCTCTTCCTGGAGATATAGCGTCCTACTGGCCTCCTGGGCGGTGACTTCCTAGGCCGAGCGGCCTCCCTTTCGGAGGGAAACATCATTGCAGGCTTTGCTATCCTCCGGACAGGCCCTAGACCCGGGCTACTTGGACTACCGGCCTACCTCTAACCTACAACCTACCGCTACTGGGCCTCTAAAAATGCCAACTTTTTATCTTCTTCTGCTCGGCCTTCAGTACCCGACACTCATACCACTACTCGAGTGGTACCGGCCTACCTGCTACTCGAGTGTTTCCCCCCTGCTCTACGTGTCGCGGGCCTACCCCCGCTACTTGACTGTCTACCCCCCCTTCAACCTTGACAGTCACGGCCACAGGTAAGTACTGGTCCTGTGGGGCCTTGCAAACGACGTACCCTTGCGGGTCACACACACTCAACCGACATGCAAAGCAGCAAGCACGCACACACACACACACAGGCATGAAAATCACAGCAAGGGGGCACGGCGATGCGGCCTCAGCCGCGGGCGCAGCCCCTGTTGTTCGCTTTCCCGTCAAACGACGAAGCTGTTCAACGAGGATTCAACGGAGTTGAATCCATTCAACGGGGATTCAACTCCCGTTCAACGGATTCAATGGGTATAGAACGGATGGGGTTGGAGAGAAACCCCTGTTTTTTCGGTTCACGTCGCCTGCGCGCGTGCCCGGCAGCCGTTGCGCGCGGTCCGTTGAACAGCGTTCAACGGGAACCGGCCGTTGAATCGTTCAACGGGGATTCAACTCCGGTCTTGTGCCCGTTCAACGGGTACAACGGAGTTGAAAAAATCCCGTTGATAGTTGAATGGACACACAGATGTGTCTTGTTCGTATTGACCTTACCTGTTATCATCCTGCACCGCATTGCTTACTATTCCATCTCATTGCACAGAGCTAGGCTTCACGGATTGCGTGGTTTTTATGCATGGGTTCGGAGAGGGTTTAGGGTTTAAAAGGGACAACAAACTGCCATTTTGTCAAAATGGACATCTTTTATTTTTTGAACGAAATTGAAACCGAGTTTTTTGGTCGAAAACTCATCAAAATTTGTTGTTCCTGAGGGTCCGGCGTTTGTAAAACGTTGGACCCCCTGGCTGTACATGGACCTAGCTTGAGACCAGGTACCTCCAGGCAATCCTGCTTGGAGGTGCCTGGTCTCAAGCTAGGTCCATGTACAGTCAGGGGGTCTAGCGTTTGTAACAGCAAATTTTGACGAGTTTTCGGCCAAAAAACTCGATTTCAATTTCGTTCAAAAAATAAAAAATGTCCATTTTGACGAAATGGTCGTTAACACAGCAACAACGAACAGAGGGGCTGCAGAACAGTGCTGGTCCATTAGACAAGGGTGCTCCAAGATGGGATGGGTAACATCAGCAGCTCCAGGGGAAAATGAAGCCCCGGGTTGAGAATTGAACCGTCCACACCCCTAGGAAAGCAAACAAGCAAACTCTGTGCCACAAGATGTTTTAATTGGATGCTGGGCCCCGTTTCCCAGACTGGGGCAGGCCAGAGGGTAAAAGAAGGGAGTTTCAATGAAAGACAGGGCGGAGAAATGGGGGGGCCAGGGATGGGGAAGGCATAGGGGGCTGCAGAAGACGACAAGAAGAGTACCAGCAAACATCGGACCTGATTCAGGGTGGCGTGTGCAGAAGGGTTAGGGAGGGTTTAAGGGAGGGTTTAAGGAAAGGAGAGCCGAAAGGAAAACAGCGGCAACAGATAAAGAGGCGGCCCCCTTGGGGGAGCTTCACAGCTATAGGGCTGAGCTACAGACTCCTGGAATTGGGCTTGAACAAATGAGTTTAAGGGGAATATGGGACAGGATGGAAACGGTCGGTAATTCTCCAGGAATGGGCTGGGCTGGTAAGAAGAAGGAGCTCTAGAAGAGGAAGGGTAATATTAGCAGCTCGATGGGATTGGAGCTCCATGCTAGCAGTAAAATGGTTTTAGCCTCAGAACCAAGGAAAACGAAAGCTGCATCGAAAGGATGTATCCAAGGGACGCTGGACCCGACTTCCAGCAGGTGCCGCTCCCCACCAATAGATGGAGCAGCCCGACTGGCAAAGCCTCAATTCCAGTGGTTCTCTCACCACCACCGGGATAGTGGCCTTGCAACTAGTCAGGGCGTCGTTAGACACTCCTCGGGGCATCCTCGGGCTCCGAGGATGAATCCTTGGAAAAGTTTAGGGTTTTTGTCGTCTTCGTTACACTCATCCTCGGAGCAATGGACATATAGCATGGTCTCAAACAACAGATGACAAAGAGTGACATCCTCGTTTTCCACATTGTAAATTGGGACGCTGGACCCGTTTTCCAGCAGGTGCTGCTCCCCACAAATAGATGGAGCCTCCCCGATGGTGCTAGCGGTGTCTGCACTCATCAGCACCCCTAGCAACCGTTCGGGCCGTTTTGTTTTAAAAAAAAAAGAAAAAAAGAAAAAAAAAGAGGAAAAAAAAAAGAAAAAAAGTTGTGCTTCAGGCTTTCAGCCAATACGGTGCCGCCACGATCAGAACTCTCGGTTGTAACGTCTCTCTACGTGGATGCCCTCTCCTCTCTGTGAAACACGGATCCTCGGGCCCCAAAGGACCTCGCGAGGTCCTTTGGAGCTGAGGACGATTTGGCTGGGAAATCCTCGAAGCCCAAGGATTTGTCCTCGGGAGTGTTTTCACATTTTCATTTCCGATTTCATCTCCGAGGACAGGTGGAACTAAGACGAAATCCTTGGAATCACGTCCCCGAGGAGTGTCTAACGACGCCCTCAGTCGTAGGACGCTGGACCCGATTTCCAGCAGTGCAGCTCCCCACCAATAGATGGAGCCTTCGACGCCCGAAAAAAAAAGACAAAGGAAAAAAAAAAAAAAAGGATATTCTCAGACTGACAGAAGTCACCCTCAGAGTGTTAGTGGGGTATTTGCCCATCACCCCTTAAAGTTGTTTCGTTCCTCTTGGCAGCCGATGCACCTGACTGCACCACATGGCGAGCTGTGTCCCTGTTCATTCACTTGAGGTGCGAGTCTAGACTGGGGGCATACTGCCACGAGGACTTTGGGGTCAGGTCCTACTGGCAGTATGCCCCCAGTCTAGATTCACACCTCAAGTGAATGAACGGGGACACAGCTCGCCACGGGGTGCAGTCAGGTGCATCCGCTGGGTGATGGGCAAATACCCCACTAACACTCTGACGGCGACTTCTGTCAGTCTGAAAATATTTAACGACTGACAAGGTAATCATGCATCACCGCCATGGCTATTTTTTTTCCCTTAACCCTATTGAATGCGTTATCCAGCGGCCTAGCTCAGTTGGTTAGGCACGCAAGTGTCATTCGGGAGGCTGTGGGTTCGAGCCACATGATGGCATGTGGCGCACTTAGCGGCAACCAACTGTGATGGCCTGCGTGTTACCCCTGATCATTACTAGTCGGGTCTATGACCAACACGGGTGTGAGTGTGAGCGTGAGTGGGTTGTGTGTGGTGTGTGGGAGAGTGTTGCCCACAGCCACTGCCGCTACTCGGTGGGGGGTGGGGGAAGTAGATGGAACGCGCAGCAACTGGCAAAGTGCCCGCTCTTTGTGTTAGCCATTCCCCCTCACCGGCGGCCCC